TCCCTCCCTCTCTCTTCACTGTGCCTTTCCCCATGGCTGTGCTCATATTTCTGACCCCAGTGGCCCTTCAGCTCCATTTCAGTAGACAGGAAGACTCCAGGAGGGAGGCAGGATGAGAAGCACCTTCCAAGCACCAGGACAGGCGGGCTGCAGCTGAGATGAGGCATAGGCTGGGGCAGCAGCACTCACATAGAGTCCTCAGGTGGTGTTCCCACAGAACTGACTATGCCTGCACCTACTGCATTTTATTTTTCATTGCCATGGTTGCAAACACTTCTGGGATTTCCTTGGGTTCCCCCATGCCCCCATGTCTTTATCTTCCCATCACTGGCTTCCTTTTTGTATGCATTTACCTAAATATCTTTTTCTAATGAGCAGAAATTTCTTGATATAATATTTCATTTCAGGATATGCTCTCTTTTTGAAGCAATTCCACCTTTGCCCTACCTTTGCACTGTATCAAGTTAATCATGTCCGCTGAGAATTCAAACCTGCTCTGTTCTTTGTGCTGTACAAGTCTTCAGCATTGCTCCACTTGCTCTCCCAACTGTTCCTTTGGTTTCTTTCCTCCCATTACAGCATCTCATTTTATCTTTTCTGGGACTTCTGTCCTACTTTAACTTCATTTGCTATATTTGGCTGTCACTAGCCTAAATATTAAAATTATCTGATTGGTTACTGTTTAGATCAGTATCTTCCTAGCACTAATAAAGTTAGATAAGTTCTGCAGAAAGCAGGCCAGCACAAGATAATTTCTGAGCTTGGAGTAGTTCTGTCTTGCACTTGGACTTTACATTTTCCTGTAAAATGTGTGCTGTATTTGTGTGTGTTGTTTTACTGTGGCTTACTTTCACATTTCCTGTAGGAACATAGCTAAATCTGTGTCCCATATTCATAAACATATGGAAGTCTGATTTATTTTAATCTGGAATTGATCATTAGAGGTGGTGTTTTTTTGTTTGCTTTCATTTTATTGTGCATGTATTTGCTTCTAATCTGAAAACCTAGAAGAATACTAGTTTGTAAACATAGAATAATCCTACCTCTTCTGTGTTCTTGGATTTTTGGGTTCTTTGGTCTTGTTAGTTCTGCTCTCTTGCCAGCTGTATTTTTTGGTTTTAATTACATTTTTCCATTTCTTCATCTTCCTTGAAGTTTTAATCCTTTTGCTTTTTGATAATTTCAATTTTTCTTGTTGCTATAAATCCTTATTTTAATAAGCATAAGCATGTTAAACAATAAAAGAGTGAGAGCAAGTGTCTTTGTGGACCCTCCTTTGCCTATTTGAGTCATAGCTATAAACTACATCAGCAAACAGTGTTAGCTGCAGAAAGACAACTTTGCAGTTATTACCCTTAACCTGCTGGCAAGGGAAATCTGATTGGTCTCTAAAGGACCAAATTCCTCCTCTTTGGTTTGAAAACACAGGAAAAGTTGGGGGGATTGCATTTTCCTTCTGGCTGTACCTCCTCTCTCCAAAGCATTTCTGTCTCCATTTTGCAGGTGAGTTATGAGGAGCCAGCACGTTCCAGGCCTAATTTCCTTCTTGGTTTTCCAGGCAGCATCTCTTACTGAAACATTTATACCCTTCCCTTAATTTATTTCTTTCTCCTGTTCCCTTGCTACATAGTCCCTCTGCAGCAATTCCCCAGTGTCTTCATCCACTTCTCCAGCATGTTGGAATCTCACTGTTCCCACACAAGTCTCTCAGGAAGGATCCCATTGTTGCAAACAGCTGCTTATGGGAGCTCTGCTTGCTTCTGCTGTAAAACAAAGTTTTCCAGGGTTCAGCATTACACCCAGTCACTTGGAGAGCACCCAGATTCTTTAGCAGAGTTCAGTGAGATCCCCTATAGAGCAGAAGAGCATTTGGGGAGGGAGGGGTATATGATTTTGCAGTCAGTGAAACTGGCAAACACTTCCTTATAGATAAAACCATTGCTGCTAATGCAACTGCACTGTTCATTTAAAGTGGATGTTTCCTTGATAAAAACAAAACTCTGAAACTTGTTCAGAATAGAAAACATGTTTTGGCTACAATCTGTAAGGTTTCATCCACTTACAATGTCAGGACTAACCAGTGATATTTTTAAAATAATGACCCTCCACTGACTGGCTTCCTTTTCTGTTCTGTATGCTGTACCAGATTAAAGAGTAATGTCCAAATGATTTTGACCTTTGGAGGGCCAGTATTTTTTTTTGTTTAAATTGAAGCCTATGGAGAACATTTTGTCATCTGGCCCAAAAAACGAGAGTGTTCCAAGTGTCCTGTAAGTGTTTGCAGGGCTGGTGCCATTGTTTCCTCCACAGGAAATTTTCTCATTAGCTGTGTTTTGATATAATGAAGCACAGGGCTATCTGGGTAACAGAACATTCTTCAAAGTAATTTGTGTCTACCAAGAGAATGAATTGTCTGCAATTCAGATACAGATCATTGCTTCACTTTCCCCATTGTGAAGTGTATATTTTTGTCTCTCTCTGACCATTTTTATAACTTGTCAAAAAATATCTTTTATGCTTTCCTTGATAGTTCCATGTTAATCTAATGTTCAGTAATCTGCAAAGCTTGTCCTCTATCATCAAAACAACATCAGTGTCTTGTACCATGAAAACCATGGGTTGGAATCAATTTTATGTCACAGCTATTATCCTGATATTGTTGTAAAGCTCTGATCTAAACTAGATTGTTCCAGAAATCATGACATTTCTCTTAAAAGCCTGTCTACTAAAAGTGACAAATTTAATACTGGTGATTATTTACCAGAATTAAAGCTACATTTTGTCACCTAGTCATCTAGATGAGCATAGGGATGCCTGTTTTTTGGGGAAACCAGCTGGCAGTCCTAAAGGAACTGGGAAATCTGCTCAGTTGGAGAGTCTACAAAAGAATTCCTGCTTGGCTGAGACTCTGTCTGAAGCCCTGATATACTGCTGCAACTCCTCTGTAGTGCTGGACTTTGCTCACCTACAGCAGTTAAAGGTTATAGTCCTGCTTGGGACTATATGGGAAGGAGTTTGGATGAAAGACAAGAAAGTAAGTTTTGGATCACGTCCTTTTCTTACATGATAGTATTGACAGAGTGGGCATTTAAATCTTGAGAAAAGGGTCTTTTAAATAGAGAAATAAATATCACCTCTCACCCATGTCCTTTCCTCAGTTCTGTCTCTATATCCCACATCACCTAAATTAAAAAAACACGTCTTCCTTCAGGCTACTGCTTGTACCCTAATGTAATGTCTCCAATTCCAGGTCCTGCTTGTTCCAAGGCACTGGTGGCACTATGTGGAATCCATTGATCCTGTCACTGTCAGCATAAACTCTTGGATTGAACTGGTATTTTCCTTTTAATGTCATGGGGATGTAGCATTCCAAGGGATTTCTGCCCCTTGCCCAGGTTTGGTCCTGTTGGGTGTGTTGTGTTCAGAGGCTGGGGATGGAAGAGCCCTTATGGAAGAACCTTTCAAGGTTCCAGATGTGAAGCCCCAGTTCAGCAGAAATCCCCTATCAAGTTTACTTTAATCAGGTAAACAATTAAACACAAGATAAATGTTCACATGCCTAGTTTCTTCAGGGCCAGCCAGCTTTGTGCTGAATAGGGAGAAAAAAACCATCAACTTCACCTCAAGGACAAGCTTATGTGCAAAGCTAAATTAGAATTTAAATCAGATTAATGTGAATAGGAAGGGAGGGGAAGAGGATTTTTGAATTTCATTCCTCTGTGATAGTTTTGATTTGGCTGAAGTTGGATTTCCTCATGTATTTAATTAATTTTCTTCTCCCTGGGCTTTGATTTTTCTTGCTCATGTTAACCAGAATATATGGGATGATTCCATGGATATCACAGAATCATGGAATAGTTTGTGTTGGAAGGAACCTTTAAAGGTTGTCTGGTCCAATCACTCTGTAAAGGAGCAGGGACATCTTCCTCTAGATCATCTCAATACTCCAGAAGGTTTTCTGATTGACATTACTTTATTATTAACCCTAAGTTAATATTAAAAAAAAAGGACCTTTTGAAATGGCCTGTGAAATCTGCCTCGCTAAAATACTCACTGCCTTTTTTTTTTTTTTTTCCTATTCCTAAAAAACCTATGTTAGACTGGAAATCTGCAGGGGAAAGAACACATGCATTCAGCTGCTGTTCCAAGACCACACAATGCATTTCTCAAACCAACATCAAACCAAGCAGGGCAGAGGAACTCACTTGGGGATTTCCTTCATGGAGAAATTTTCGAGATGAAGCTTGTGTATTTAGCAAGGACAGCAGACCCACAGCCCAGACCAGGCTCTAACAGCCCTGAGTGCAGTCAGGCTGTTTCCAGTGCCAGAGAAAGCACCAGTTTTATTGTAGAGCAGTCACTTAAGCCTGCCTTAATTTTAATTTTGAGCCTTTGAGGTAATTCAGAGGAGCTGGCTGTGTGCTCTGGGTGTGGCAAGGCTCTGATGTCACCACACACACTTGTGCCCTAAGCTGAGCCTCAAAAGCTGTCCCCCTCTGGAGGAGCAGGCTGTGATGGGATCTGCTTGGCTGGTAGCTCCCAGGTGCTGGGGTAGGGCCTGAGCACTTCTAGCTGTTCTTATGTGTTGCAAGGGAAAACAAAAGTAGAGCTTTTCTATGGACTCTGTGTCCTTTTCTGTCAGAAAGGTCTTGCAGAAGTCACCAAGATCCTGTTTGGTGAGAGCAAGAGTCAGTGGTTGTGTGGCATCGTAAGCAGAGGGGGGTTTTCTGGATCTTGCTAGTGAACAACACACCCTCCCCAAACACCAGTATCCATCATGAGCAAATGTGGCTATTGCAGCCCAGGTGAAAGCTCCTTACAGAAATCATCCCTGCAGAATTGTTTGTTAGGTGTTGGGCAATCCATCTATAGAATAAAATCTGACATGGATTCCAAAAGACAATTCTGAGAACATTTGCATTACCAAACCAAGCAGTTCTTGCTTGCAGCTGTTACCAGCTGCTTTCATATTGACAGATGTGAATCACACCAACAATTACAGTCCCGGTGAAACCATTAATTATATTGGCAAGAGTTTAGAGTAGAAATTTAATTTGTTTTCAGCTGGATGTGAGCTACCCAAAAGTATTCTTTGCTTTCTAACATTATTGTCATGCAACCAGTACAGCCCTGTTATTCAGCAAGCCAGGATGAATACCAAGAATGCAACACCTTAAATAATTTCCACATGTAGATACCAAACTCCGTATTTTGGTGTTTTTTTTATACAAGGCCATTAAAAAGCTAAGCATCCAAACCCACAAAATTCCAAGAGCACTCCCCCCTGCTTCTATCCCAAATTCTGTTCAGGGTTCCAGGACAAATCACTGCCTTCGGCATTCATACCAGCCAGATGTGTGGTTTGCTTGACAGGTTCCCTGGAGCCACAGTTAGATTGATCAGGGCTGTGGGCTGACCATATTGCATCTTCCCTCCAAAGCAAATACATCTAAGCATCTCAATTAAAGCAGATTTATGCATCCACTTCTAGGTGCTTGTCATTGAGATAACCACAGCACCATCCTGTTTGGGGAGTCTACCGTTCCTTCCACATACAAGAAACTCAAATGGGAAAGAAAGCTAAGATCCTATAAGGTTTTGTTCTGCTACCCTAACCTAGCTAGGATCCAGCTGTCCAAGGGGGCCTGAAACAAGGAGCCTGTTGTTTAGTTAGTTTTTAGTTTTGCAGGAGAGCTTTCAGAGCAAGCATACTTTTCCTTCTGTTGATCTTCAAAAGCGCAGCAGTTTGTCAGCTGCTGTTACATGATAAAATATTTCCTAAATTTTCTTAAGATTCACTGCCTTGCTATTACATCCTGTGTGTTTTAATTGCTTAAATTAGACATAATATGTAGAACTAAAAAGATGAGCAGTCACACCAAAGCCTGTGCTGTCACCTGTTTGTGGCTGTACACAGGAAGAGTCTGAAACATTCCACTGACTTCACATACATGAGTGTGGCCTTCAAACTAAAGCCATCTATGTTGTTCTGCAGAGACCCATGAGCTAATCTGTCTCCTAAAACCTTCTGTTCTCTTGAGGCAGGATGCAGATCATGAAGCCCGTGTAGAAGAGGCAATAACTCGAATGCTGGTATGTGCCATAAAATCAGCAGAAAATCCCAGTGATGGAGATCTCTGGCTAAATCCCACGGAGGTAAGCCCTCCACTGCTCCCATTATAGCTGCAATAACAAAGAATTACTGACATTTTGCTTAGCTCCCCCTGAGTCTTTTTGCTGCTTTGAGAAAAAGAATTTTAAGTTCCATCCCTTCATGTAGCAAAAGTAATTCATGGAAGATAATCACACAAGGCTGAATTGAAACATGTCTCCCTTTAACTGAGTGTATTCTGGGTGTTTTCTTAGGTTGAGGCAACATCCCATGAAATCAATCTTCAGTACCTGAATAAAGCAGTGTCTGCATACCTCGAGTGTCAGGAGACAAGTGTGTCAGGACAGGCAGGTTCCAGCAGCACCGGTGCAAAGCAGAGGGCAAACACAGCATGCAAGAGGAAGAGAAGGGAAGTTGGCTGTGAGCCAGAGAGCTGCACATTACTAACCCAGGAATGTGACTTTCCAACACCCAAAGCAGAAGAGCTGAAGAAAATACCTTTCGGGCCTCATCTTATTCAGGTTTTACCACAGTCTCACAAAACAAGTGTGATGGGTGCAGTTGCAGTTGAAAGTGACAGTGGAGATCTCCATGAAAATGAAGGAGAACATTTTGGAAAATTACACTGCAAGAGGAATAGATTGCTAATGAGTAATGACTGTGAGACAGCTGCACATCAAATGGATTCAGACTGCAGTCCATGCACCTCACAAACAGCCCTTTCTACCAATGACTTGTTAGACTGTCTGGTTAATCCTCATGTCATCAATTTAGTGGCTCAGCTGCTGTTGGAGAGAATGAGAGAGTGATGCTGGAGTGATGCTTTATCATTTCTGAAACAGAAATCAAACAGCAGCCTTGTTCTGCATGTTTAAGATCTGTAATAATTGGATGCTCCATTTCAAATAATTTTTAGGTACAGCTAGACACAGTTAATGGTTAAGTGCAGGTTGAAGTTGAGCTGAAAGAAGAATAGCTGGTTACTGATGGCTGGGAAGAGAAAGGTGTGTTTAGTCAGGGAGCTCTCAATGTTACAAAGAAGAGAGAGCACACACAGTCACACTCCCACAGTGCTGTGCAGGTGGGATCTTCACAGTGTTCTACAGCTCTGAGCTGCAAAACAAGTGTGGCTTGATGAGAGACAACAGGGGGAGTGCTGGGACATGGTCACATAGCAGAGGGGGACCAAGGGTGGGAGCAGATAGATTGACTGACTGTAGACTGCAGACCTTGAGCACATTTGATATAAAATGGTCAATAAGCAATCAGTTGATTACGTTAGAAATAATAAATTCAGGTAAATGTAAACCTCAGCCAAGAGACAATACACTCACTAATGCATCTCCTTCCTCTCTTCCACTAAATAACTTCAGTTTTGTTACAAAGCTCTAGGTTGGAATGGGACAAAAGTCCTTAGCAAAAAAGTAGCCTTTAGCTAGTTCAGAAACTCTTAAAGCTGGGACATTAAGGGTCATTGGGAAGTTGCTGCTATTATTTGTTTAAACCTAGATGGCACAGTCCCCTATCTCTAAGAAACAAAGCAAAATAGCAATGACTTTTTACCTCTGACCTTCTCTTTACCATAACAATCAAAATGTATTATTTTTTTTCTTTTGGTTGTAAATGGTTGCTGTACAAGATCATCCTTTCTTCAAAGGATCATAGTCTTTGGATTTGTTTTTGAAGGCTAGGTTGTTCTTTGATTGAAAAGTTAGGGAACATGAAATACAGTTATAGAAATATAGTTAACTCTGAAGCTATGGATGGAGGCTTGACAAAACCTGGGAAGAAAGCTGCTGGCATCTTCCAGAATGCTCTCACCTCCTCTGATTTCGGTTTGTGGTGGCAACAAAGGCATTTCCCTAACTGAAGGGACAGCTTCAGGGACAGCTCCTGTGAAACCTTTGCTTTTAAAATGTCTCTTTGCTTGTGTCTGCTAGAGACCTAGAAACCAGTTTCTATCATCAACCTGTTCCCATATCCATAACCTTGCACCATCAGCCCTCCTGCTGTTACTTCCTTTGCTTGGTGTGTGTTCCCTGCTAAATAAGTGAAGCTGGTGCTGTTTTCACAAAGATCACCTTCCAGTAATTTATAGCTGAAAAATCCTGATAGCAAAGGTGCTTTCTCTCTGCATTTATTCAGATTGCATGTTGGCAAGGCCCTGATGAATTATGGTAAGGGCTTTAGATATGTACCAATAGATCAGGAATTCAGGAAACCTTGCCATTTCAGAAATCTCCCCAAAAACCTAATACACTTGGAAGAGGATTAAGTTGAAAAGGCTCAAAGGTTCACATTTAAAAAGCACAGAAACCTTACCCTGATGGAAACAGAGCTGTGTATGTAGTTTGCTGGAGACCCTGGCTTTGAAGAGTGGCTGTGAGTTAGCAGCAGAGGCCACATGACCTCCATCTCTGACCCACAAATGTGCAGTTTCCAGTGTCCTGCTCTGCCCTGGTAATTGGGCTCAGACCCTGATAACACCTGTGTGTGATCCCAAGGGCAACCTGCATGCAAGATACAATTCACAGCAACGTGGGAAAACTGCTCTTGTTTCATGTTTCTTCACAAAAAGGTCTCAGTGGGGTTGCACCCTTGCAACCAGACCAGAATTTAATAAACAATCCTGTTGATACAGTTCCTGTTTGTGTAATGGCACTGCTGCAACAAAGGGATTCACTTAGGAATCAGCTAGGAAACACCTTGGTCACCTCTGCTGCCTTTAGTGATTCACCAGGCTCATAGGGAGCAGTCTGTGGAACAGGGCAGACCCATCTCGAGCCACAGGCACATCTCAGCAGAGCTGGGTTTAGCAAGACCCTGCTCATGTCCTGCTGCTGAGTTTGCCTTTCCCAGGCTGGTCAAAGGGGCTGGGACCAGCTGCTGGGAGCAGTTGCACTGGGAAGGAGGGGTTGCAAATGCTCCATTTTAATTCACGAAGCAAAAATAGTCTTGCAATAAAAAAGCTTTTATGTCTAGAACAGATAGAGGTGGGGGAGGAGAAGCACAGGCAGTAAAGTGGAGGAGGAGGAGGATGGCAGCATCATCTTCCAGTCCCCACAGTGTGAACTTGCTTAGCTTAAGCTTTCCTCCCAACACACAGATCATCTTAACATACCCCCACAAAATCCACCCTGAGCGTTTCATCCCTCTGTATTCCAAATGACTGTCCTTGGAAAGGCTCACTGATCATGTCAGGGGGTCTCTGGAGGATTTGCCCAAATCGCCTTTGGTGCCTGTGCCAGAGAACCCACCTTGGGCTCAGTGTAGGAGCAGCATTCTCCCAAGGCTGAGCTGTGTTCAGAGTCACATCCCTCACCTCTCCAATCAAACCCTCTCTGTCTGGGGACAGTCACAGTTTATGCCTGTCCAGGTGCAGCCCATGATTTAAGGGCCAGGCTGTGGCCAGAAGCCATTAAGCCAAGGGGACGGGGAAAAGAGCAAGTGAGGCTGTTTAGGATGCAAGGCAAAAGCACCAGAAGGACTTTGTGTCTCAGAGGTGCAATATAAAACCTCAGTCATACACTTTGCACACAGGGGCAGAGAGAGAAATGACCACAAATTCAGCAAGTCACGTATGGCAAATGGCTTGTGCACCAGTAAGAGAAATTTATAGCTCTGACCCGATTCGCAGGATGCCGAATGCCACGATTCCTGACGCCGTTTCTAAATTCATGGCTGCTGCGTGCAGAAGCTCAGACAAGTTTCTACATATTCATAGCGTTAAAAATAAATGATTTCTGATCTCTCTGGTGACAGCCTGTCTCCAAGAAGAGCAGGAACCCAGTGCTAGCCCTCTGCAACTGCTAATAGAAACTTTCTCCCCCAAGACAGAGTATTTCCCACCACTGTCAGCAGTGGGCAAGGCAGCAGTTGAGCTCATAGCCTGGAGCCATCACTAGGGTGGTCACAGTGGTGACATGCTTGTCACCTCTGCTTTAGCTGAGTGACAGTAAGAGATGGGCACTGCAGTACCTGGTGTTGAGTTAAAGCCTTAATCCAGCCCAGGGCCAATCCAAGCAGTGGGATGGACCAGCACATTCATGTCCCCACACACAACCAGACTGATCTCTTGGCTGGTGGAGACCCTGTGTGTTGCCTGCCCCAATATCAGCTTTGCAGAGTGGCTCACAGCCCAGCCTGGATTATCTCTCCTGGTCTGACATTGCTGCTCGCTGGCCCTGAGCATCGCCCAGGAATCTGCAAAAACCTCACCCAGGTCTGACAGTCTCAGCTCCCAAGTCAGCAGGAAGGGAAAATCCCAAATAGTAACATCTTCCAGAGTTTCAGTCTTCTCTGGAAAACCTCCCCACTAAATTTCTGTGGGTACCACTGGGTTTCACAGTGCTATTGCCCCCATTTGCCTCTCTCAGAACTTCTGCTGTGACACAGTTCTCTTGATGCCGCAGAGCAGCTCAACTGCAGAGCCATGACATGTTAACATTAACCATAAATTGAGCTTTTAACTAACAAACATAGCATATTGAAGAGGCAGAGAGAATCCTTCCACAGTGCTAATTGCCCTTTAAAAATAAAATTGCTACAATTCAGTCTGTTTGCCAACTAGCAAGCTTCTTGCTGTGTTTCTCAGCTACAAATGTGAAATGTTTGGTGTTTGGCATGAGCAGGCTTCCACTCATGGGAGTTTCCTGACATTTCTAGTGTGGCTGATGGGGAAAGACCTCAAAAACAAATGGCCTGTTTTTACCATCTGGTTCATCCAGATGGGGGAGGAAAAGGATCCTAGACCACCCGTACCATATTCTGTCCTTCAGACAAAAAGGACTGACCCACAGCAAGATGGGGACACACTTTGCCACTCTGGCTGAAGGATCTGTGGAATGAAGGTGTCTCTGATTAAAGAGCCACACATTTCAGAGCTGTGTTTTTGGAGACATCCCAAGTGGATGCTCCCACTAAACATTAATTTCTCCATCTAATTAGTGGGGTTTGTCCATCTTAGCAGGGTGACTGGGAGCTGGAAGTTCTGGTCACCTTGGAACAGCCAGTTTGGCAGGGCCACAGCATCCAGGGCTCCAGGGAGGACTGTAGGACAGTGGAGACAGAGCTAGCAAGTGCTGTGTAACAGTGGTGGGAAGAGGATTTCTGTGAGTCTCTGAGAACACAAGCAGAAACCCTGGAGCTCTCTGACCTCCCAGTGCCCCTGTGCTGAGGGACCTGGGGAGCTCTGGAACTGGTAAAAGTGTCTCACATGCCAGAAGCATTGCCTTGCAGCCAAATCTCACATGCAACACAGCTCTCCTGGTCCCTGCATTTATTTACAGGGGCAGTGTCGTGGAAAAGATACGGGGAGCTCCCCGCTCAGCACCAATTACAGATTCTTAGTGAAACCTAGCTCTGGGTTTTGAGGGCGCAGACTTTGCTGCTTCCGAAGCTCTGGCAGAATTGTCCCAGCAATGAGTTCTCATTTCTTGTGATGACCCATGGAAACCACTTTTTGAAGGTTTGAATCTGACACTTTCATTACTGAAGAACTTTTAAATCCAGTTTCACAGCAAAAGAGGTGGGTCCACATCTTTCAGATCAGAAAGGTTGATCGTAAAACAGGTTTCCATCTCCCTGGGAGATATTTGAATCATATAGAGTCACTCTCTGTCCAATCACTGCCTCAAGGGAGGGTAGATGAGCTTCAAGGGCAGGTAAAGAGTTAAAACTGTTCCTGAATTCATCTCTCACCCCTGCCATGTCCCCTCCTCCTGCTCCCCAAAGCCTGGGCTATGCCCATTGAAAGCACCAGGCAGTAAAACCGTTCCCTTCTGAGCCGTGCCAGGCTTGTCCTGTGCCCTGGTGGGACACATGAATCCAGCCCAATTAGCAGCAGCCCTAACAAAGCTGGCTGAAAATCCACTATTAAAATGAAAGATGGTGTTGTGTAAAAAGAAGGCAGAGCAAGCAAGGCCATAACACAACTTATTGCTGTCCCCAGACGAGCCCCATAACTTATGAGAGACTCGGTGCCTCGCCTGCGTTTCAGCCTGTGCTTCCCCAGGGAGGCAATGTATTACCTCCACATTTACTTGGAGCTTTGGGGGTTTATCCAAAGGGATTAGGATCTCTGCCATGGTTAAGAATGGAGCTTTCTGCCACGCTGTGATAGCTCACTGCAATGTGGTTTATTCCTTGTTTGCTGCTGCTCCCTTGACTGAAAGCTGCAGCACTGCAAAGATCGATGCCACAGACTGCACTGTGCAGAGCCCCTGCTGTGGCCGTGGCTGGCGTCCCTTCACATGTCAGCAGCCCCATCTCCCACCCAGGGGTGGTGCCCTGAGGACAGCCTTGCCTGGGTGAGCTTCCTCTCCTTCCTGCTGGGGACTCCATGGGACCAAAGGTCTCCAAATCACCAACGCATTTGACTCCAAGCATGTGAATAGACCCGGTTGTCCTCAGGTTACATCCATGAGGAGGAGCCTTGTGGGCAGATCCAGGCCAGCTCGAGGGTACAACACATCAACAGAAGCATTCTCAGTCCCATGACTGCTCTCCTGTGTCTGTCAACCATATTATTACTGTTATTAACTCAAAACAATGTTCAGAGCTCTACCAGAAGAAGCACTAGAGCAGGAATCGGTCCTAGCTGGGGCAGGAGAACAAGGATGAGATGGCCATGCAGGTCTTTGCCACCCCTTCCTCTTCAGAGAGTCAATCAGCAAGGCATGGTAACAGTATTTGTGCAGTTACTGCATGTGCTGATTACAATAAATTTTGTCCTGCATGTTAAAGTCAGAAACATCTCGCATCTGCCAAACAGCAATCAGGACCAATTAATGAAGATGTAATTTCCCCAGATGCTGCTATTAACATAATTCACCGTGTTCCTAGCAACATGAATATAATTAACCCAGTTAACCACAGCTCTCATCACCGCCACACCAAGCTGTCCTTGCCCTCAGAGGAGCCTCCCTGCCGTGTCCCCAGTCACATCCACAGGGCTGAGGGGCAGAGCCATTCCCCATTCTCTCACCTCGGGGGGTGGGTTTGGGAGCCACAGACGTGGCCCCCAGCCCAGCAGTGACAAAGGCTCCTCTCAGAGGCAGGACAGCACAAGAACCCTGACACCCAGCATGGTTTCCAAGACTCAGGTGCACCTCCCCAAAGCAATATCCTCTGCAGCAGACCTGCCCCAGCCCTGGGAAAGGCACACACCCGTGGTGGTCAAACACGTGGCAAAATTAAGGCAGTCCCTTAGTGCAGGGTGCCTCCAGCCCTTTTTCCCAGGCTGATGCCAGCACAATGATGTGGTTCACACACAGCTCTGCCTTCACCACCACCCAGAGCACAACAACTCACTGTTGGTCCAGCTGGGAGTCAGGGGCGATCCTCACCCAGGAGGGCAGTCCTGCAGGGCTGGGACCAGCGTCCATCAACACCTCCACACACACAGAGACATCAACAAGATCCAGGGTCCAGCACAGCCCAGCAGACGGGAGCAAACCGATTCCAGGCTGGAGAAATGGGATAATGCAAGGCCCCTCTGAAGAAAGGCTGAAGCCAGGACTGGTGGCTGGGCTGAGCTGCAAGAGGTTCCAGTGCCCTTGGGCAGGTGTGTCCCAGCTGAGTCTGGGTAAGGCCATGAGGGCCCCCAGGTGCTCCTGTGATACCCGTGCTTGCCATGGGCTGGGCACAGGTGATGCTCCTGCTGCTGATGGGGAAGGCCAGTGGCAGTGGGATCTTCTCCCCTGTCTGTCCTAACTCAGCTTTGCTGCTGCTTCTAAAGAACAACTCAGGGTGAGAAAAAGGAGGAAATGAAGGTTCAGGTGTTCAGACCAAATTTCAGGGTTTACCCAGTGCTTTGGTCCTTGAAGGGTTGAGGCAAAAGTCTCATCCTGTGCCTGCATCCCAGTCTTGCTCTCACCTGATCATTCTCCAGATGCTGGAAGCAGGAACTGGAGACACACTTGGGAAGGACCAAGCCTCCTGCAGCCCCCTGGGCCATGTTTTAGCAGAGAAACATAATCACTGTCCACCTTCAGGGCTGACACAGAGTGCAAGCAATATGCCTCAGCTAGTCCTGGCTGTTTGCACAAAAATTGCTTCAATTTCCCCTATTTTCAAGTGGTCAAAATTGGTCAGAAGCAAGTTTCATCCACATCAGAGTGTGCCCTGAAAGGACTTATCAGCTGGGGGTTTGGGCTGGATTTTATTTAATCGTTCCACATTTTCAATGTAATTTTACTTGAAAAAAACCCCATGAGCAGCATTTCTGAAAAGCTCAAAAAAGTTGGAAGGATTTCCTGAGGGAAGAGCCCCTGGTTTCTCTTCCAGCCTTTTTTTCTGGTGAGAGAGGAAACTAGAAAGGGTATGTTAAAAATTAATAAATGCCTTTTATTTTTTTACCCCCACAAGTGTGGGGAGTTTTCAAATGAATTTAAACTATTCAGTTAGTTCTTTTGATAGCTTTGGTCAATAGGGAGTTGATTTCCCAGCCAGCTCTGGGAGCACCTTGAAACTTCTAAAATTTGGAGAAGCATTGACCAAATCCCATTTCCTAGTGTGAGACCACTAGTACTTAAAATAATTAATTCATGTGGTTTCTTGCAGATTGATTTAACTCAAATCACCTGAAAATGCTAAGTGTGAAAATGTGGGTAATCTGCCGGGTCAGAAAAAGCAAGGCATTTTAATAAAAGCATGGACCTCTCCAAACCAGTGAATAGTTTAACAATTACCTGATATAATAACACGTAAAAAGATGCTGTGGACAAAGGTGAGATCATTCACGTTAATTAAAGTGTCTGAGCCGCTACACTCCTGCCTTAATGGTGGATTTAAACTGAGGCGTTGTAAAGTGATGATAGAACGGTCATTGCCTCCGTGTAATTACGGGAGAACAGAGAATTAACAAATGCTTCTGGGGAGGGCCGAGGGATCGCTGCCAGCTCCTCACGGCTCCGCCCGGGGCTCTCTGGGCGCTGCTGGCAAAGCCGAGGCTCAGGCAGGGGATGTCGGGGTGAGGGGCTGCTCCAGCCCGGGCAGGGGGATCACCCCAATGCAGCCATGGGAAGGGCTCGGTGCTGCGGATCCCAGAGCTTTGCTTTTCCCGCAGCCTCCTCCTGCCTTCCCACCGCTCTCTGGAGCGACAACTCGGGATCGCTGCCAGCGCAGGGGTGCCCTGGGGACACATTTTAGGGCGTTTTTCTGCGGTGTGCCGCCCTTTGTCACCCTTTCCCCCCGTCAGGCGGACTGGAGCTTCCCCAGAGCCCGGAGGGATGAAATATTCACGGGGGAAAGGCAGCGAGCGATTGACTCCGTGCGGGGCCGATTGCGGCACGGGCGAGGGGGAGAGAGAGCAATTATTCCGAGGCAGGGAGCAAAGCCTTCAGCACCCTGCAGCTGGAGACACCCGGCAGCAGGACAGACCCCTGCTCACTGTGCTCCATCCTCAGCCCGCCGCCGTCCGTACCCTTTGCAAGGGATGGGGTTTGGTCCCCAAACCCGAGTGGGGTACAGACTCTGCGCCCCCAAAAGGAGGAACCTGGCTCCCCATCATTGCCCTGCTTTCCTCTGGGCCCTGCCTGCTCCCACCACAGGGCACCCAAAGCCGT